CTGTCTCAAAAAAAAAAAAGAAAAAAAAAGAACAAATTTATTTTTTAAGAATCCAAATGGAAGAATAAAAGAGTAGCTATCTGGCATGGGAAGCTAGAGACTTGGGTTTTAATAGTCCAATACCGGATAAGTAAAAGAAATTTCAGAAGTACATTTTGTGTCTTAACATATTGACTGCCATGAGAGTTGTATTTAATTCTAGTTTTGACCCCAGAGCCACGTGAAGCATATATAAAATCTTACTTGTTGATGTTCCTATTGTTACAATTAATACTGACAATTCTAAAAACGTGGATTAAATGAATAGAAGTCAATAAATTTCATTTTTCTATTTATATTTACCTTTAAATTATGCTCAAAGTTTTTATTCTATTTTTGTAATAAAACACTGTGGCCCTAAGGAAAAGTTTCTGGGTTTTTTTGTGTGGAAGTCAGTGTGTTAAATGATGCCAAAACATCAAAGCAACTATGAACAGCTGGAAAACCCAGAGGACAACAGGTAAGTTGTTTGTACAGTGCTGGATCTTACATCTCTGAAGCTATGGCCTGGAGGATGCTGAAACCCAGTGATATCTTTTACCAACCATTCCTAGTTAAAGGAAAATGAGTACATTTATGAGATGGAAATATCTCCTTAGAAAGAATCTAAGTCACAGCGGTAGTTGTGAACACAATCTGAAAAAGATGTGCCTCATGTTATGTAGTGGTTGCTGGTGGTACCTCCAAGTGTCAAAAGCTTAGGCTCCTTCTATCTTGTTATTGCTCCAGCATTTTTAACATGTTACCCTTAGCCAAATATTAATAATTCAAGATAGTTCACTACCATAGCCACATTCCAGCGAATAAGAAGAAGAAAGAGGGGAAAGCAAGGGATTCCATTTTCCTAAAGGCACGCTACTTCCACTCACATTCTTTTGGCCAGAATTTATATGGCCTCATCTAGCTGCAAGGAAAGCCAGAAAATGTGGTTCTTATACTGGGCAAACCGGTGCCCCATGTTACCAAACCGAACTGAGGTCTACTTACCTGGTACAGTAAAGCCAACCACTGACACTGAGATTTGCAGCGAGAGAAAAGGGACATTTATTACACAGTGCCAAGCAAGGAGCGCAGGCAGCTAACACTTAAGACTCCTCAATGGCTTACAAGCAAGGAGTTTTAAAAGAAGGGGTACATTTCAGGAAAGCAGAAATTTCAGGCAAAATCGTAAATCAATACATGGCAGTTATACATTGGTTTGGCCCCAAAAGGTGGGATATCTTGAAGCAGTTGCTTATGGATCATAGGCGGATTCAGAGATTCTTTGATTCCTGTGGGTGTGACTTCCAGGCCCCTCAGGAAGAAATTTAGGACAAAGAATGTGGCCAGAGTTCCGTCCTCAGCTCCCCCTTATCAGAGGTCGACCTGATAGCATTTTCCATTTGCTGGGGGTTTCTGAAGAACAACTCAGGAATACTTGTTAAGATGTTATCTTTTAGTTTCTATAGGGAACCAAAACACCTTGTGACTCCGCTGGGCCTGGGAGATTGTTGTTACTATGGTCTTGCTTATCAGGTTTTGCTCATTTACTTTTCAAAGCTAGCAGGTACCTAGAATTTCCCTTAAAGGAACTCAAGATTTTTCCTCTATTTCCATGCTTGGGGGGCCCAGCAGACCCCTAAGAGGGGTCTCTGCTCTGTCACTCTAGTGGGTGTGAAGTGGTTTCTCATTGTGTTTTTGATTTGCATTTTTTTTTTTTTTTGGGACAGAGTCTCACTCTATTGCCCTGGGTTGGGTGCCGTGGTGTCAGCCTAGCTCATAGCAACCTCAAACTCCTGGGCTCAAGTGATCCTCCTGCCTCAGCCTCCCAAGTAGTTGGGACTACAGGCATGCACCACCATGCCTGGCTAATTTTTTTATATGTATATAAATTATTAGTTGTCTGGCTAATTTCTTTCTATTTTTTTTTAGTAGAGACGAGGTCTCAGTGTTGCTCAGGCTGGTCTTGAACTCCTGAGCTCAAATGATCCGCCGGCCTCAGCCTCCCAGAGTGCTAGGATTACAGGCGTGAGCCACCACGCCCGGCGATTTGCATTTTTTTAATGGCTGATATATTAAGTGTCTTTTCATGTCTTTATTGGTGGTAACTTAGATTTATGTCAGAATGAGATTCTTGAGCAGGGACCTATATAGAATTGGCATTTAGAAGTCTGATTTAATGCAAGGAATGAGAGCAGGCCCAGTCATTTGGAAATTAAATAAGATTGAAGTGGGTATATAACTACCGAAGGGTATAGCCAAGAACTAGGGAATTTTAAATTAGTGACTCAATCAGTGGGGCAGGATTAAGAATTTAGATGTCAGGGGTCAGAAGTCAAGGAGTTTCCTAAATTAAACTCAGATGCTAAACCTGTATCACAACCATCAGTTCAAGACCAAGGTAAGCCAAACATTTGAGTCCTTAGGAGTGATTAAAGCTGGTGTTATGTAGGGGGTTATCCTTGGTCCATTCCTCAACGTGGGGACAAGAAGGTGCAAGGCAAGACAAGCATCCACTGAGTTAAATAAGAAGAGGAAACCCAAGAAAGGTGCATATTGAGGAGGCAAAAAAAATTTTTAACTGTGTTCAGGTGTGCCTATACTCAAATTTACTTTTATAGAAACTACAACGAGAGACATCACCAGCACAAAGCCAAGCTTCGAAAAGTCAAGGATCATTTAACTCATGAAGTGGAACTACGAGATGAGAGAATTGAACAACTTGAAAGAGAAATTGGAACACTGCAACAACAAGTGGAAAAGGTGAGAACAAAAATAAAGGTGAAGAGTTCGCTAATGATGCTGGTGGCTGGCCATTTAGAGAAAGCCCACTCATTTTTAAAATTATTTGTGGCCCCTTCATAGACCTTGTTTTCATTTCTCTGCACCATCTTTCAATGTGTGTAATTCTTTACACCCTGCCGAAAAGTATGTATGTAAGACCCATAGTGTTGTTAAACCCGACTGGACACTGAAAACATTCTGTACTGCCAATTTATGATCAATGTCTTACCTTCATGCATTTTTTTTTTAAGAGTCAGGGTCTTGCTCTGTTGCCAGGCTGGAATGCCGTGGCACCATCATAGCTCACTGAAACCTTGAACTCCTGAACTCAAGCAGTCCTCTGGCCTCAGCCTCCCAGGTAGCTAGGACTACAGGTGTGCACCACCATGACTGGCTAATTTTATAAATTGTTTGTAGAGACAGGGTCTCGCTGTGTTGCCCAGGCTGGTCTCCAACTCCTGGCCTCAAATGATCCTTCCACCTCAGCCTCCTAAAGTGCTGGGATTACCGGTGTTAGCCACCGCACCTGGCCAAAAATGCCTTTTCTTGTTTAAGTCCCCTTCAGAGACTTCCAAACCACCCCCAGGAACTCTTTTCTGCTTTTTGCAGCCCTCATTTTGCCTCATACTTCAGGGTGACTTAGAAATGCCAGTGAAAACAGGTGATCCCTACTCCTTTATCAATCCTTGACTAGTGCCTTCAAGCTTTTTTCTAAATATCCATAGTGTCTTCATGCTTGTCTTATTGCCCTGTGACTTACTGATGTATGGATAAGAAAGAAATGAGGCAGATGAATGGAATCAGATGAAGAACGGTCTTGGGATTACTACTTAAATTCAAGGTGGAGAGCAGCTGTCTAGGCCAGTAAGGTTTTTCCTTCTTTCTTAAGATCCCCAGCCCATTTCAGAATTTTGAAAACTCTGTCCTCACTCCTTAAATACTCATTTCTACACTCAACGAATTTTTATTATACCACCACTACGTGTCAAAGATACTAAAACCACTTATGTAATTTCATTCATTCCCTTGAATATCCTGGAACTCCAGGTCAAGAATTCCTAGACTATGCACATTAAAACATTTGACAGTTCTAACAGATGGGTCACCCATAGTGTATTCTTAGTTTTAAAAAATACTTTTGAGCCAAGTGCGATGATACGTGCCTGTGGTCCCAGCTAGTCAGGAGGCTGAGGCAGGAGGATCACTTGAGGCCAGGAGTTCAAGACTATAGTGTGCTATGATCATGCTTGTAAATAGCCACTGCACTCCAGCCTGGGCAACATAGTGAGACTCTACGTCTAAAAAATAAAAATAAAAACTAAAAAATCCTCTTGATATTCTAAACTACAATGAGAAAGGAAAAATAAATTGTATTTTTGCAATATCCGCCTATTTTGTCATTAATTTGTCAAACTTCTAGAGATTCAGATCCATCTTAGACTTATAGGTAGGAAAAGACTAAGGAAAGTATACAGAAGAAAGTAGCAATCCTGGTTCATGGGCCCACAAGGCATATCATCAACCTAATTCTACATTGCAGTACAAGAAAGTTCTTATACTGCCCGACTTCTTCTTCTAGTCTTCAAAAACAGCCTCCTACTTTCAGCAAGCATGCTTTCTTTCTCCCTGAATGTACTGGGTTGAATAGTGTCCCCCCAAATTCATATCTACCTGGAACTTCAGAATGTGACCTTATGTGGAAATAGGGACTTTGCAGATGTAATTGGTTAAGATGAGGTTATCTTGGGTTAGGGTGAATCCTAAATTCAGTATGACTAGTGTCTTTTTAGGAATAGGGGAAGACACACAAACAAAGACAGGGAAAGAATGCCCTGTGATGATAAAGGCAGAGATTGGAATGATGCAGCTACAAGCCAAGGAACACCAAGGATTGCTGGCAACCACTAGAAGCTAGGAGAAAGGCATGGAAGAGAATTTCCCTCTGAGCCAGGGGTAAGAAGTAACTTACCCTGACAACATCTTGATTTCAGACTTCTAGCCCTGAGAACTGTGAGAAAATACATTTCTGTGTTTTAAGCCACCCAGTTTGTGGTGCTTTGTCACAGCAGCTGTAGGAAACTAATGCACCTATCCAAAGAACCACAGGTCTCCAAGAAATATGCTGGCAATCCCAAATAAGCTCTTGCTCACTGCCGTTGAAGGGTACTGTGAGGTTTGGCTTTAGACAGACTCAGATTCAAATTCTAGCTCTGCCACTTAATAGTTCTGTGACTTTGGGCAAGGATCTGTGTATCATTTTCCTCATCTGTAAAATGAGGAAAAGAATCCCTACCTTATACACACAAGGATTTTGTAATGATTAAAACATGAAATTCCTAAAGTGGTACCTGGCACATATAAATTTTTGTAGATGTTATTTATTTATTTTTGAGACAGAGTCTTGCTCTGTTGCCAGGGTTAGAGTGCCATGGCATCAGCCTAGCTCACAGCAACCTCAAACTCCTGGGCTAAAGCAATCCTCCTACCTTAGCCCTCCAAGTAGCTGGGATTACAGGTGTGCACCACCATGCCTGGCTAATTTTTTCTATTTTTAGTAGAGACGGAGTTTTGCTCTTCCTCAGGCTTGTCTCAAACTCCTGAGCTCAAGCGATCCTCCTGCCTCGGCCTCCCAGAGTGCTAGGATTACAGGTGTGAGCCACCGCCCTCAGGCTCTGCACCAGGCTTTGATGTGAGAGCTTTTAATGCCACAGAGGTACAAACCTAGGGCCCATTTTAGGGCCCATGAACCAGATCCCTGAGCATTAAAAAGCTGGGCTTGGGCCAGGCACGGTGTCTCACGCCTGTAATCCTAGCACTCTGGGAGGCTGGGGCGGGTGGATCGCTCAAGGTCAGGAGTTCGAGACCAGCCTGAGCAAGAGCGAGACCCCATCTCTACCAAAAAATAGAAAGAAATGATCTGGACAACTAAAAATATATATATATAGAAAAAATTAGCCAGACATGGTGGCACATGCCTGTAGTCCCAGCTACTCGAGAGGCTGAGGCAGAAGGATTGCTTGAGCCCAGGAGTTTGCGGTTGCTGTGAGCTGGGCTGATGCCACAGCACTCACTCTAGCCAGGGCAACAAAGCGAGACTCTGTCTCAAAAAAAAAAAAAAAAAAAAAGCTGTGCTTGCTTTTCAAGTCTCCAAAAAAAAAATAATGCCACTTCTTTGGCTTCATTCTTTCAACTTTATCTTTACGTAGTGAGCCAGGTGAGTCTTCCAACTGTTCTGACCATCCAAACTAGGTTTTCCCAAATATGTTATCCTATTATCACAGCAGGTGTCCTGATTTTTTTTGTTGTTCAAAAAAATATGGTATTTCCAAAGGACAGGGTATCAACAGCCTTCCCCATTTACTATCCTTTCTAATACAGTTATAACTGCATAGAATATTGTCTATGGGATGGCTGCTTCTATTCTCAATTCCTACCAACACATTATTGATTAAATGTCTTTAAATAATAGCAAGTGAGGCTATTATTAGACATTTCAGGGTCCTGGACAATGGCTTTAAAATCTGGAATGTTTTGTTTCAGAACATAATCTAATCTCTATCCTTATACTTCTTTAATAATAGATGGGACCATCTTTTCTGAATGATCTACATTAATATCTTATTTAAAAGAAACATGTAAAGTTGCCTCCCTTAACCCTGTGATTCACTCATCTGCCACAGGTGGTTATTCTCGCACACCCACTCACTCTCAGCACTGGCAGGTGAGGAACAAACACAAAAAGGTGAAGACACTTGCCTGTTACCATTGACAAGTCATTAGTGAAGTGATACTGGCAATTCTACACCTTTGAGCTCTAAACCCCTCACCAAGAGTGATAGTTACTAATATCTACTGATTCTTTCAATACAAAAGTGTTAGTGTTTTTCCACAAAATGCACTGCTTTATCATTTTAGCTGTAACTTCAGTGGCTACTGCTTTTGGGGAAAATCATTGGTAGAAAGTAAAACATGGTGTCAGGCTAGAAACCATTTCGGCACCATCACTGCAAGAATAGTCTCAGCACCCGGCTTACGAGATTAACTTGCCATGCCAGCTAAGTTCCTGACACTGATTGCCAAATTAGGTGGCTATGTTCTCATCTTTCTCTGTTTGCCTTAAAGAGAATATAGTTACAAAGCAGATGGAAATGTATTAAATGGGAAAAATTTCAATATGGGGTTTCAGAGAATTTAGTTGTATTTGTTGGTGGTTTGATACCTATAAAATTAGAATATAGATAAGAGCATTGGGACCTTATTGGCAATTGAGTGCTCAGATATTTTTAAATGTTAATGCAAAGGAATGATGAAATGTCCAAACAAAATACATGACATAAAATAACCAAAATAAATAGAGGAACTATCTAGGTATTAGATAATGAAATGACGGTGTTAGCATACAAATGTAAACAGACTAGAGAACAGGAGAGAAAAAGGAAACAAGGGAAATTTGCTGTTAAGAGTTTAGAAACAGAATGATGCTCTCAAATTTATAACTCTTTCTCCTGCTGTGGTAATTAGGGGACTTTCTAATCCCTAGGAGAAGGCATTCCAGGACCAGATCACTACCCAAAATGATATCCTGCTTCTAGAGAAAAGGAAACTTCTGGAGCAACTCACAGAACAAGAAGAATTGATCCACAGCAACAAATGGATGCTATCTTCAATCCAGAACAGGTAGGTGCAGTCACGCTTGGGGTCCAGTGAACTCCACAAAGAGGATGTGTCTCCCTCAACAAAGAAATGGTTCAAGAGATTGTCCTTTGAGTTTGTGGCCTATCCTATGACTCTTGCTCTGCTGTCTGCTGTTTTCAGCAGATCATGCAAATGGCAGAAATTGTGAAATTAAACAGAAAAATATGGAGGAGGGTGGTGGACTATTTATACAGGCTCTTTCATAGTGGCACTGCCTCATTGAGGACCTGGTCTGTCACTTTTGTGTGTGCTGACACTCATTTTTATCATTTGGTACCTATGGAATCAAGGCTGACCAAGAGAGAATCAAGCTCACAGAAGTGACTTACATTCATGAAATGCACAGGATACCAATGTATTAATTTTTAATGAGAAGTATTAACATTACACACAGAAAAGAATTCAGATATCAGCCAGCCTTAGCATTCTCTTCTTTATAGGATTGCAATCAAAGTTTTCTTAATTACAATCAAAATTTTCTTAGGGCAAGAATCAGAGCAAAGAGAGCAGGTTGATTGTAACAGGTAATGTCACCAATAATAACTATAATGATTAGCATTTGTTTGAGCACTTACTAGGTGCAAAGCACTGTTCTAAGCACTCTCTCTCTCTCTCTCTCTCCATTTAATCCTGACACCAATCCCAGGAGGGAGGCATTATTACTAGCCTTATTTTATGGATATGAATCAAAGGTCCAGAGAGGTTAGGGAACTCACCCTGCCTGGTCAGTGGCAGAGCAACATGTAGACCTCGGCAGCCTGGCCCTAGACCAGAGCACCATAGTCTAGGGAGAGGTCAGCAAGCAGACTGAAACTCTCCTGTCCACTGCTTTGGGCACTCTGTCCTCTGGACAGGCTTGGAGAATCTCTGATTATCTTTTACTGTCTGTGTCTCCCCTTTCATATGTATCCCATATAAATCATTGCTCGTCTCGAATCGTGTCATAGCTTCTGACCATTGGGGCCCAACGCAATTGACTCATTACCCTTGCCTTAACATTAATTATCTTCCTGTCTTGTCCTCCTGGTGACACAATCTGGTCACCCAGATTGGACTTAGATATTTTCCTTAGAGTAAGTTTCTTCCACGGGTATTTCCTCATTTTACAGATAAGGCTCAGATTTATAATTTGCCAAGGGTCACACAGTGGCAGAATCAAAACTAAAACAAAAATCTTTGATCAAAACTATTATACTGTCATGTCTCCCAAATAAACTGTGGTCCTGGAAAGTGAGTCTATATAGTGGTTAAGAGCTAAGGCTTGAAATCTGAAAGGTCTGGATTGGTATCCCAGCTCTATGAATTTCTATTTTTATGTTTTTAAGCAAGTTACTTTCCCCTCTCTGAGCCTCACTTTCCTCATTTATAAAATAGGTTTCGTAACTGTATATTTTGTGAGGTTGCTGTGAGGACTAAATGAGCTAATAAGCCGGGTGTGGTAGCTCATGCCTGTAATCCCAGCACTTCGGCAGGAGGAGCAAGAGTGAGACCCCATCTCTACAAGAAATAGAAAAACTATAAACATTTGAGTGCAGATGTCTTTTTTATAGAATGAGTCAGGCATGGTGGTGCATGCCTGTAGTCCTAGCTCCTCAGGAGGCTAAGGCAGGAGGATTGCTAGAGCCCAGGAGTTTGAGCTGATGATGCCACTGCACTCTAGCAGGGGCGACAGAGTGAGAATCTGTCTCAAAATAAATAAGTAGATAGAAAGATAGATGGATAAATAAATAAATAAAATTAATTAATAAAAAATAAATACAGAAAAATTAAATAAAAATTTAAAATAATACTCTGTTGCTCTGAGTAGAGTGCTATGGTGTCAGCCTAACTCACTGTAACCTCTAACTCTTGGGCTCTAAGCAATCCTCCTGCCTCAGCCTCCCCAGTAGCTGGGACTACAGGCACGTGGCACCATGCCTGGCTAATTTTTCTACGTTTAGTAGAAACAGGGTCTCGCTGTTGCTCAGGCTGGCCTCAAACTCTTCAAGCTATCCACCCACCTCAGCCTCCCAGAGTGCTAGGTGTGAGCCACTGTGTCTGGCCTAAGAATTTCTTAAAAAGAAAAACAAATAAATAAATAAATAAATAAATATAAATAAATAAATAAGCTAATACATGAAAAGTTTTAGGTGCTTACCGTGTGGGTAGGTTACATTGCCTAAGTACATGGTAAGTACTTAGTAAATGGTTGCTGCTGCTGCTACTGCTGCTATTTTTACTTCTATGTGAGAAATCAGAAGCAGATACTAGTTATGTAGCTATAATATTTGAAGGGATACAGAGTCTCTTGTTTCGGTCCCATCTCTAAATGGGATCATATCCTTCCTTGAATTTTTCACTGTGCCTTAAATACTCTTGCACATGTATTTAATAATCATGTATAGGCAAGAAGCTTATAGACTTTCAGTTGGCCTTGGAATATGGTGGGAATTATTCTGCCAAATTTGCTTCTAAAATCTGCATGGTGGTCTAAGATCCAGAGCTAATGGGAGGTGGGTTTTCAGTAATTATACAGAAATTTCTAGTCATGCCACTGATTTATGCCATTCCTAGAGTACTTTTCCTGGATAAAGAAAATAAACAATTACAGGAAAATAGTCTCCGTTTCATGCAGCACATTGGCCTGTTAGAGCGAATCATAAGGAGCATCCAGATTCGCAGAGGAGAGGTAAGATATGTGCTTTCTATTGGGTCTTTAATCTGAAGTTTGGGTTGCTGAGGTTGCTGCGCCCCCTCTTCCCTTCATCTTCATATAGCTGTGGCCCTGCTCTCAGCTGTAGCAAACAGGCTCCTTGGCTGCACACCAGGGCAGCAGACCCTAAGACGGCTCTTGACCAGCTTTGCTCTTCATAGGTCAGCTTCTACTGAACTATCTCCTCCTGTGTGAGCCCAGAGCAATCTGTGTATACCTCATAGCTTCTTCCTTAGCGACACTGTATTGCAGTGCCGTTTTTCTTCTCTATCTCATTAGCTCAACAATGAGATCCTGAAGATCAAAGATTGTATCTCATATATCACTGTATGAATGATATCTCAAATATTTATGGATAGGTTCTCAGTTCTCCATAAATATTTGAGAATGAATAAATGTTAAATGTTTTCACATACATGGCTCATTCTTAGCAGCCCTGTTGGCCATGTATTATTCTAGCCCCATCTGAAAGATGGGCAACTCTGGGGCTTGGAGAAGTAGAGTGAAGCTAGTCTGGTCTGGCAAGGAGTCAAGCCTAAGGAGAGCATCCGAGACAGAGAAAAGCAATTATGGTCCCCAAGTCCAAGCAGACAAGTAGCCAAATACAGAGAGATGCAGATAATAGTATAGGTCCAGTCAAGGTCTAGAGTCTGGCTGGTGAGCATGTCAGCAAGAGGGACTTCAGGGAACAGAATTGTATTCTGAATCCCAGGTGGAGGCTGCTTACTTTTTTGCCTGGTTTATATCACCTGCTAGACATTTCTTTCCCAGATACTTTACCGTAGATCCTGCTTGTTAAGCACTGTTGCTATAAGACCTACATCTTGTTTGCTCACAGAAAGGGGATTATTTCCAAGCTATGTGAATTATTTTGCCAATTTTGTCAAAAGTAGAACTGCCAGAATATGTGGCCTGATTTCCAATAGTTAATGTTTTTTCTTGCGCTACAGCTATTCACAATTGTCTAGTCATTCACTCTTTTACTTGACCATTCATGCAGCAAACATTTATCAATTCCAGAAACTGATCTAGGTCCTAGGAATACAAAGAGAATCCCTAGGCCTGGAGGCCTAGTAGAAAAGGACAGGCACATATGTAAATAAGTACTATAGTATTACAAGTGCTGAGTTAGAACACTTAATTGAGTATATGCTAGGACCAAGAGCTTTGAGAGCCACAACTTTACCCTCAAATATTTATTGAGCACGTACAGTGTGCTAGGGCCCAAACTGTTTCCCATACAGTTTGGATATGATGATGAACAAGAAACACAATTGGCCCTCACAGAATTCAGCTGAGTGAGAGTGACAGTCACATAACTGGCCACTACCATACCTTTCAATAAATTCTACAACAGCAGTAGGCCCAGAATGCTGTGGAATCATGAGGAGTGATATCTAAACCTGCCTGAGGTGGTTAAGGAAGGTTTCCAGAGTTGTTGATGTCTATGCCAGAAGAAACTGAAGCCACATAAGAACTCTCCATATTCCAAATACCTTTCTGACGTCAAGCAAGCCCGATTAAAGAAAGGCAATCTACTCACTGTTTCCCTAAATGCTCTAAAATTTTCTCCCTCTGTATCATGCATTTCCCTTACTTGGAACAACACATGCTATCTCCCCTATTCCATCTTCCCAGCTTTTCCCTTTCAAAGTCCTTTAGTTCCTAGAGTGTGTAGCCAGTGGGGAATTTAAAAAATACAACTTGAGAATATGACTCAAAACTATACAATGGCTTCCTGTAGTCTTCAGGATAGAACCCAAATTTTTAGACAGTCTTCATATTCTCCATGACCTGGCCCCTGCCAGTCCTACCCATCTCACCCCTCACTGATTCCTCTTTCCACTTTATGTTCTACACTGTCCAGGTCCCTGGATCATACATGTGATTAGGTCCAGGCTCTTCTAGGAAAGCCCTCTCCCTCCATTGCATTATCCTATGACTACTTTTCCCCCAGAGTTTTCCTTGGCTGGTTCCTACTGTCCCTTAAGCTCAATCTAAATATCTCCTTTCCATGAAGCTGTTTCAAAACCTGGCTTTTTGCCATTGGTAAGTTTTCTAATTGTACCCTATGTGTTAAATCCTAGCTCAGCATTTTACTAGTTATATGAATAAGGGCAAGTTGATTCATCTTCCAGTTCCCTCATCTAGGAAAATGAAATAATGACATTCAAAAGATGGTTGTTCCACACAAAAACTTATATACAAATGTTCATAGCATTATTCATAATAGCCTAGAGGTACAAATAACCCAAATGTCTATCAGCTAATGAATGGATAAATAAAATGTGGCATATCCATACAATGAAATATGATTTGATCATAAAAAGGAATGAAGTATTGACTTATGCTATAACATAGATGAACCTTAAAAATATTGTGCAAAGTGAAAGAAGCCAGTCACAAAAAACCATACAAATGGAAACCAAAGGGCAGGGTGTGGTGGCTCACGCCTGTAACCTAGCACTCTGGGTGGCCGAGGCGGGAGTATTGCTTAAGCTCAGGAGTTCGAGACCAGCCTGAGCAAGAGCCAGACCCCGTCTCTAAAAAAAAAGTGGAAACCAAAAGAGAGCAGGGGTAGCTTATACTTATACCAGACAAAATAGAGTTTAATTCAAAAACTATAAAAAGAGACAAAGAAGGTCATTATATAATTATAAAGGGGTCAATTCATTAAAAAGATATAAAAATTGTAAATATATATGTACCCAACATTAGAACAGTAATATATAAAGGAAATGTGAACAGAGAGATGGATTGTAATACAGTCATAGTAGGAGACTTCAGTACTCCACTTTCAGTAATGGTCAGATCATTAAGACAGAAAATTAATAAGGAAATATTGGACTTGAACTATACTACAGACCAAATGGACCTAACAGACATATAGGAAAATTCCATCCCAAAGCAGCAGAATATACATTCTTCTCAAGTACACATGGAACATTCTCCTGGATAGATCATGTGTTAGGCCACAAAACAAATTTGAACAAATTTAGAGGACTGAAATGATATCAACGATCTTTTCGGATTACAATGGTATGAAAATAGAAATCAGTGACAGGAAAATATGGCAAATCCACAAATATGTGGAAATTAAGCAACATGCTACTGAATAACCAATGGGTCAAAGAAGAAATCAAAAGAGAAATAAAAAAATTTTTGAGACAAATGAAAATGGAAACACAACATACCAAAACTTATAGGATGCAGCAAAAACAGTTCTAATAGGGAAATTTATAGCAACAAATGCCCATATCAAGAAAGAAGAAAGATCTCAAATAAACAACCTAATGTTACACTTCAAAGAACTAGAAAAAGAAGAACAAACTAAACCCAAAGTTATCAGAGGGAAGGAAATAACAAAAATCAGTGTAGAAATAAATAAAATAGAGACTAGGAAAACAACAGAAAAAAATCAATGAAACTAAGAGTTGTTTTTTAAAAAGATAAACAAAATTGACAAATCCTTAGCTAGACTAACTAAGAAAAAGAGAGAAGACTCGTGCTGACTTCTGTAGCACATACATTAAAATTGGAACGATACAGAGAAGATTAACATGGCCCCTGTGCAAGGATGACATGTTTTAAGTAAAAAAAAAAAGAGAGAGAGAAGATTGAAATAAAATCAGAAATGAAAGAGGAGAAAATTGCAGGCCAATATCCCTGATAAACATCACTGCAAAAATCCTCAACAAAATACTAGCAAACCAAATTCAATAGCACATTAAAAGGATCATCCAACATGATTAAGTTGGATTTATCCCAGGAATACAAGGATGGTTCAATACATGCAAATCTATAAATGTGATACACCACATTAACAGAATGAAGGATAAATACCATATGATTATCTCATTAGATGCAGAAAAAGCATTTGACAAAATTCAACATCCTTCCATGATAAAAACTCTCAACAGATTAGGTTTAGAAGAATTATACAACACAATAAAGGCCATATATGACAAGCCCAGAGCTAACATTTTATTCATTGGTGAAAAATTGAAAGCTTTTCCTCTTTTCAGGAACAAGACAAGGATATCCACTCTTACCACATCTATACAATATAGTACTGAAAGTCCCTGCTAGAGCAGTTAGGCAAGAGAAAGAAATAAAAGGCATCCAAACAGGAAAGGAAGAAGTGAAATTGTCTCTATTTGCTGATAACATGATTATATATAAAAAACTCTAAAGACTCCACCAAAAAACTGTTAGAACTAATAACCAAACACAGTAAAGTTGCAGGTTACAAAATCAACACAAAATAATCAGTAGTATTTCTATACAGTAATAACAAATTATCCAAAAAAGAAATCAAGGAAATAATCACATTTATAATAGCTCCAAAAGAAACAAAATACTTAGGAATAAATTTAATCAAGGAAGTGAAAGATCTGTACACTGAAAACTATAAAACATTGATGAAAGAAATTGAAGAAGACACAAATAAATGAAAAGATATCCTATGTTCATGGATTGGAAGAATTAATATTATTAAACTATCCATACTACCCAAAGCAATCTACAGATTCAATATAGTATCTATCAAAATTCCAATGTCATTTTTCACAGAAATAGGAAAAACAATCCTAAAATTCATATGGAAGCACAGAAAACCCTGAATAGCCAAGGCAATCTTGAACATAAAGAACAAAGCTGGAGGTATCACACTACCTGACATCAAACTATATTAGAGAGCTGTAGTAATTAAAACAGCATGGTATGTGCATAAAAATAGACGCAATGACCAATGGAACAGAATGAAGAGCCCCAAAATGAACCCACACATTTACAGTCAATTGATTTTTAACAAAGGTGCCAAGAGTACTCCGTAATGGGAAAAAAAAAAATCTCTTCGATAAAGGGTACTGAAAAAACTGACATGCAAAAGAATTAAATTGGAACCTTACCTAACACCACATACAAAAATCAACTCGGAATGGATTAAAAACTTAAACATAAGACCTGAAATTGTAAAACTACTAGAAGAAAACGTAGGGAAAAAATTATAAGTCTGGGCAATGATTTTTTCTTATTTGACCCTAAAAGCTCAGGCAACAAAGACAAAAATAGACAAATGGGAGTACATCAAACTAAAAAGCTTCAGCACAACAAAGGAAACAATGAACAAAGTGAAAAGGCAAACTATGGATTGGGAGAAAATATTTGCAAGCTATATACCTGATAAGGGGTTAAATTCCAAAATACATACAGAACTCAACTCAGTAGCAAGAAAATAACCCAGGCTGGGCGTGGTGGCTCACGCCTGTAATCCTAGCACTCTGCAAGGCAGAGGTGGGTGGATCCTTCAAGGTCAGGAGTTCAAGACCAGCCTGAGCAAGAGCGAGACCCCGTCTCTACTAAAAATAGAAATTATCTGAACAACTAAAAAATATATACATAGAAAAATTTAGCCGGGCATGGTGGTGCATGCCTGTAGTCCCAGCTACTCGGGACGCTGAGGCAAAAGAATCGCTTGAGCCCAGGAGTTTGAGGTTGCTGTGAGCTAGGCTGACACCACGGCACTCAGGGCAGTAGAGTGAGACTCTGTCTCAAAAAAAAAAAAAAAAAAAAGAAACAAAACAACCCAATTAAAAAATGGGCAAAAGACCAGAATAGATATTTCTCAAAAGAAGACATACAAACGGCCAACAGGTATATGAAAAAATGCTCAACATCACTAACCATTAGGGAAATGAAAATTAAAACTACAATGAGATATCACCTCACATCTGTCAGAATGGCAATTTCAAAAAGATGATAAATGCCCATCATATTTCATCATAGCAATAAACAATAAGAAAAAGAAGAACAAAAGATAAAAAAAAGTTTTTTAAAAAGATGAAAGGTAATAAGTGTTGGTGAGGATGTAGAGAAAAGGGAACTCTTGTACACTGTTGGTTGGAATGTAAATTAGTATAGCCATTATGGAATACTATATGGAGGTTCCTCAAAAAGCTAAAAATGGAATTACTATATGATCCAGCAATCCCACTGCTAGGTATATATGCAAAGGATTTGAAATCCATATGTTGAAGAGATATCTGCACTCCCATGTTTATTGCAGCATTATTCACAATAGCCAAGTTATGGTATCAATCTAAGTGTCTATCATTGGATGAATGGAAAAAGAAAGTGTCATATATACAAACAATGGAATACTATTTAGCCTTTAAAAAGAATGAACTTCTGTCATTGGTGACAACATTGATGAACCTGGAGGATATTATGCTGAGTGAAATAAACTTGGCACAGAAAGACAAATACCACATGTTCTCACTTATATGTAGAATCTAAAACAAACAAATAGAAGCAGAGAGCAGAATGGTGGTTACCAGAGGGTAGGGGATGGGGAGGGAATGGGGAGATGTTGGTCAAAGGGAACACTGTTTTAATTAGACAGGAGGAATACATGGTAAGTATTTGAGGTGATGTATATGTTAATGAGCTTGATTAAATAATTCCACATTGCATACATATATCATAGCATCACTTTGTACCCCATAAATATATACACTTATAATTTGTCATTATTGAATATAAAATTTTAAAAACCCTTTAGACCATAGCAATATCCAAGAGAAATAAAAACATGTCCTACCAGAAACTTGTACATAAATATTCATAGCAGCATTATTCATAATAACTAAAAAGTAGAAACAACCTACTCTCCATCACCTGACGAACTGATAAACAAAGTATGTTGTATCCAAACAATGGAATATTATTCAGCCATAAAAAATGAAGTGCTGATACTTGCTACAAAATGGATGAACCTTGAAAACATTATGCTAATGCTCTAAAGAAACCAGACATAAAAGGGCACATGTTGTGTGATTCCATATATGTGAAGTGTCCAGAATAAGAAAATCTGTAAAGACAGAAAGTATATTAGTGGTTTCCAGAGACTAGAATGAGGGAGAAATGGGAAGTGATTGCTCATGGGTATGGGGCTTTTGGGGGGGGGGTGATGAAAATGTTCTGGACTTAGTGATGGTTGCACAACTATGTGAATACAGTAAAAAGTACTGAATTGAACATGCTAAAAGGGAGAACTTTATGGTATGTGAGTTACTGCTCAAGAAAGCTGCTGTTTAAAAAAAAAAGAATAAGACATTTCTAGAGTATATCCAAAATATATTTAACAAAGGAAAGAAGCAAGGTAAAGATAAAGTGAAGATAGTATATATAGTACCATATAGATAGATTGTGTGTGTGTGTGTGTGTGTGTGTGTGTGTGTGTGTGTGTGTAATTTCTTAATCTGGGCCCCAGTGAGATCAATGATCCTCTCACTCTAATATCTATGGTTCTCTTTGTATACAGCTATACTATACAATATTAAGCTATGTGAGACAATAATAGACTAAGACAGTATCTTCAAAAG